AATATAATCCAATAAACTAAAAAGTTCCTATTTAAAAGTTCAAAAAATTAAGTAATATTGTTATCATTATATTTGCTGTTTGGTTTTTTTTTTTGTTTTTTTTTGCCTATCTCTTAACTGAAAATGAGCTAAGGAAAAATGATACAACTCAGCATAGAAGACTTTTAAGGCAGAAATTATGCCTCCTGTGAAAAGGCTGAGGTCAGCTATTAAGAGCTCCCTCTAAGATAAAGGAAGCCTTGTTTTCAGCTAAACTATGAAAAGGAGAAAATACCTCTGACCTAACAAATGAAAAATGCATACAATATAAGTCAGGCCCGAGACCTCAGTTTAAACTTTAAGGGACAACACATAATTAGCATTCCACTGGCACAGTAACATCCAGATACTTTCAACCTAAAATAAACTGGACCAGATGTATAAAACTGCAAAGACATTCTGCAACTAAAGACGGTAGTTGGTATGGTTTTTTAATTTTTCACTTGATAAACAGAGCGTAACTACCAACCAAAAGGAAGAATATTTCAAAAGTTGGGAAGGTTTAATAGGACCACAAAGTTTTATTATGGAAACTGGAGAGCAAGTTAAATTAACCATAAAATCAGTAGGTATTATTAGGTTTTTCAGGTAGTTTGAGCATATAGTAGAGGTAGACCTCATGTTACAAACATAATGGAGTCTGTCCATTATGGTTGTAACCCAGGAGGATGTTAAATGTATCATGTTAAGTGAATAAGCCCCCATCCCTGATCCCCCCAAGGCATTTGTTAATTGAACAAACAGGTTGTTAAGTGCACATTGAGTACCTCAGAGATAGAGAAGACCATATTGGGGGAGCTAGTGCAAGAACCAGATAGCCTGCCATTGGCCACCCAAGGGCTTCCTCTACTCGCTGAAGTATCTCATGCTGCACTTCCCACCCCTTGGGATTCCCATAGCTCTTGGCCCTTCTCCACACCAACTATTATCATCTATAGCTCACTTACCTTTTAAAGATCTCCAGAGCTTAAGATGTCAGGGTAGGAAAGGAGAATAGGATAGACCAGTGGTGGCTAACCTTTTTGGGCTCCTGTGCCAAAAATTGTGCACACACTTGTGCACGCGCGCACGTGTACCAGCACCCAGAAGGCAATGTGCGTGCCCCCCCACGCCCCCTGCGCATGTGCGCGCAATCCTCTCCATGCCCCCTGACCTGCACTGCGACTCCCAGTTGATTTTCAGCTGGTTTGAGGCTTTGGCCTCCCAGGCTTGAGGAAAGCCTCTGCAGCCTGAAAAATAAGCCCATTTCGTCACTTCCAGTATTTCCGGAAATACAGGAAGTGATGAAACGGGCCTATTTTTCAGGCTACAGAGGCTTTCCTCAAGCCTGGGAGGCCAAAAAAGGCCTCAAACCAGCAGAAAATCATCTGGGAGACACCCGCATATGCAGTGAGGTAAGTTTGCCTGTGGCTCACATGCCGGCACAAATGGCTCTATGTGCCACCTGTGGCACACGTATCATAGGTTCGCCATCATGGGGATAGACCATGTGGCAGAAAAGACAAGTGTATGTAAGGATGCACACACGCACGTACACACACACACGTATTTCCCTCTTTGCAAAGGGAAGAAGCATGTGTAAGGATGCGCACTCTTTGCAAAGGCACTTTTGTGAAGAGGAGAGAAGCCTATAGAAAGGGAAGTCTTCCACTGCTGCATGCCTTCCCTCCCTCACTATTAGCTCTGCTAGTGTAAGATTAATGGAACTAATGGTGGAGGGGAAAGAAAGGCTACCATTTAGCAATGGAAGGAAATAGTTTCACCAGCACCTGAAAAAAATATGGCCATTTTTTTGCCTTTGTGGCCTAGCCTGTTCTTTCCTACCGTGACATCTTTAGCTCTGGAAATCTTTGAAAGTTAAGTGAATGATTGGTAATGGAGTGGGGAGAAGTACGTGAAACCCTATGGACGAGCAAAGCAGGCCCAGTGCCCATGGGGATCCGGCAGGGCAGCATGGGGGAAATAGGCAGGGGGCATGTTGTAGCATCTCTGCAGTCAGTTGTAAGGCCATGGTACTGCAATTTATATAAATTCGGGATTAGGTTATAAATGCTTTTGGGGGAGGGAATAACTTTGAACTGTTGCTAAGTGATTGTCATAATTCAAGGAATACATGTATTAGCATAATAAATAATTCCTCTTCCGTCTGAAAACT